TGTGTGTGTGTGTGTGTGTGTGTGTGTGTGTGTGTGTGTGTGTGTGTCATTGGCCAGGCCACAGGGCTCGGGCTCGGGCACAGGAATGCCGGACAGGATGTCGGGAGAAAAATTCCAGAAAGAGTGGAGTCACTGCAGAGAAAGCCACCCTGAGGTGTCTCCGACTGTAACACAGAGACACGGCATCCCTCGGGTCCGGTTTGCACCCTCACACCCGCTCTGTGTGTCCCCGGGTAACCGGTGCAGCCGGTCAAAGCTTGGTTGTGTACGCGTTCACGGTAAAGAGACTCTGGGCTCACTGCTCAGCATGACTCGATCTGAATATTCACTCGATCTGAATATTCCTTGAATGTGATGACCAAGCAGACAGAGACCTTCTTTGTGCATTTTAACTATTTTTTTGAAGTACAGATTCCCCCCCAAAAACATCTCGTTCCAGCTTCTAAAATGTGAATATTGTCTGTTTCCTTTGTCTTCTATGGTGAAACATTTGGACTGTTGGTCTCAAAAAAGACAACATTTGAAGACGCTGATATTTTAAGGACCAACAATGACTTGGTCATTCAGGTTGTTTTATTTTATTTTAAATGTAATATCCTGATATGAAAACAAGACATTGGAAGAGATGCCACGTTGGACGCTGTGATTAAATCACGATCAATCGAACAAGTAAGGACTTATCTTTCATGAAAATAACTAATCACCCAACTTCAACTTTTAAAGAGTGAGGTAGACATTTTGGGAAAGATGTTTACCGGTGGTATGTGTGTCTGTCCAAAGGTAACAACATCTGCCTACCAGCACATCTAGAGCTCAGTAATTCATTAACACATGATATTCATCACACTCGTTATTCTCATGTATCTCGTTTATTTAATCTGTATAAAACCAAAGCATAAAAACAACCTTAGAGCGATATTAATCTTATCATCTTACTCTCGAAAAACCCCCACAAATAAGCGTATTATATTAGACACAAATATTCAAGTTGTATCATAATATTACACGAACCAAAATACGATATCTAGATTAATCTCACGACAGATATCACCTCCGTATATATCTCCCAAACTGACTCCTCATCGTCACTTTTCCATCAAGTTCAAAGTGTCATAAACGTACACTGAACATCCTGGTTATGATTCCACCGTTATTACACTATGCAGAAAAGCCTAATAACGTCATGATTATTCAATAATATTCAACACATCATGCTATCTGCCATAGAGACAGAGTGGAGCTGCTCATGACTGCTCTTTTCTCTGTGTCTGTGTCTGATCTGTGGCCCTTCTTCCCACCTCACCTCCACCTCCAGCAGACTAATGCACAACGAGCAGCAGAGCCGGACTCAGACAGAAACACCCTCGGGGGGGGTTAAACATCCAGGATGCAGCAGCGAGGGGCCACAGATGAAACCTCTTCTCCTCGAGTGCTTTTTAATGAACCCCACTGAGTTCACAGACAAACAAGGGAACACACACAACAACAAGTGTCCACTGCGGAGTGACAATGAGCCCCGAAACAGACAAAGATCAAAGGTTTGAACATAATGTATTGAGTGGGACTCATTTTGTGGAGATTGAGACTATTTCCTGTTGTTTGTTGTGGAGGGTTCAGCAATGCCAGATATGTGTTATGGTGGTTTTCTAAAGGAACGGCACACCAACATGTCTTTTATAAACACGTCACAGTATTTGAGAGGAGAATGTTGAGCAACAGTTTGAAGTTTAAAGAAGACAGAGGAAAGGGGGGTCACGGTTTAGTTTAGACCCCAAAGCTGAACCAGGTTGTTGTTGGTCCTCTTATCCATGTTTCAGACACAGAGATCCAGGACAACAATCCCTCAGGGGTGCATTCAGTGGCTTTAATGTTATAAAGTGTACAGCTGGAGGAAAGGACTCTGAAAGTGAGAGGTGACTGTGCAGAAACATGTTTTTAACTTTGACTCACCTTCACGGAGTTGATGCTCAGCTTTTTCTCCACGTGCACGTGGATTTCTCCGTTCTTCTCCGGGACTGGCGTGGACTCCCTGGGTGTCCCGTCCCTCTCCTCCTCCTCCTTCACCCCATCCCCGTTTGCCGTCCCGTCCCCGTCCTCCTCCACCACCACCACCACCTCCTCCTCCTCCTCGTCGAAAGGTAGCGGGACGCCGTCGGCGACATACTCCTTCAGACACTTCATGTTGTGTTTCTTCAGCAGCTGCTCGGTGTCCGGGTCCACCACCACGAGCTCCAGCCAGCCCACGGTGGCTCGTATCCGGGACACGACCTGCTGGTGGCTCTCGTTCTCCACGTCCTCCGCGTTCACGAACACCAGCCGGTCTCCGGCGTGGAGCCCGGACGTTTCTGCCGGGCTGTCGGGCTCCACTAACCGGATGAACTGGCCCGTCTTACCTTTCTCCCCGTGGAGGTGGAAGCCGTAGCCGTTGTCCCCCTTCTCCAGCGTGCACAGCCGCGGGCGCAGATACTGGCGTTTGCTCGGCATGGTTCAGGCTCCACTCGCCTTTACGCTGCTGAAATGCGTCTCTAGTTTAAAGTGGGAATGACTACAAGACCTGTGCAGGATGCTGCTGGGGGAGCGGTGTGTGTGCGTGTGTGTGTGTGTGTGGTACCCCTTCAAAAAAAAGCACCCAACCCCCGCCCTCTTGGGGAGATTAGTCCGTGGGAAACGGTGCTCGTGCTTGTCCCACTCTGTGGTCCACCTACACTCACGAGTCACAGTCTGAGTCGGTCCTCACACTTTGTGTAAATCCTCACTGAGACTCCTGCTATCAGACGGCGGAGGGCCTGACCCGAGGACTGCTTAGACTCACAGCTCCGCCTCAGTGTGCGACCAAAAGTAGAAGAGCCGCCCGGGAAGAGGGAGGTGCGTTCAGGGACCGGCCCAGCTGGCAGCCTTGTGCAAAGCAGAGGACCAGAGGAGTGAACACAACCCGGGACTGTCCAGGGAAACGAAGATGATGATGATCAAAGGACCAGATAGAGGATTCAAGAAGGAAAGAGTGCCCCCCCCCCCCCTCCATTTTTGTGTTAAAAACTTTATTTATTCCCATTTTAGTTTTATATATTTATACTTCTATAGACGTTTTGCCTTATATTTCCATTGTACATTTTTTGGTACTTACTGCTCTGAATACATCCTCATTTCTTGCATCTTTTCACTTTACAACCTTTACTCAGAACCACATTATCACACTTTTGAATGATTTTCATTTAGCACAGTTAATTATCTGATACATACTGCATTTATTCTCTTTAATTCCTGCTATTAAAAGCACAAAATAATAGAAATTATAGGGAATTTTCCCTATGAATAATGAAGTATCCATCCATCTATTAATATGTTTTGCCAGAGGGACGCAGACTACAACGTCTCTGTCTGTGATATTCCTCAGGGATTATGTTGTGACCTTTACTAACATTTTATTCGTGTTATTTCCCCCTGTAGTGTGTAAAACAGATTTAATCTCAGTAATATTGTTTTAAATATAGTATACAGCTGTAATTATTAAGGGTTGTGAGCTGTGAGAAATAATATGTGAGCTCCTATGGTGTATGGCCTTCTGATATGCCCGTCTACAGATTAGATATACGATTTAAATCATCAATATGCACACATTATGAATTAATGATCAGCATAATTTGTACACTTCACAGTGCTTTTGAAGCCTGTCCACCCGGAGCCCGTCTTGGCCTTGAGAGATGTGAGTGACACGCTTGTAAAAATAGCGCCCGGCAGGAAGCTCCCGATTTAAAATCCTCGGGGAGGATTTGACTTTTCAGCTGAGAATGCTTCCAGACCTGATAAGAGGACATGAGACAGGATCTCTCAGCACTCTCCAACCTGGGGATTTAAAGCTACAGCAGCATCAGCACCGATACCTGCAGCGTGTTTAAGGGCAGCTGTTAGTTTAGTTGGTGGGAAGTCATCCAGATAATTACAGTTTCTTTTCTTCACAGTGAAGGATATAAAATGCACAGGCTCCTTGATGTGTCTGACTCGGCGCTGTGACTCCTAGACGTGAGTGGGAGAGCTGCATTCAGGTCGACATTTGCTTCCATGTAGCACTGCGTCCACTAACTTCACCTGACACATTAATGCAACCACGGTAATACCAAAGACATCATCCAGATGTTGAGCATCCTTTCAAAAACAATGTACCTCTAAAATGACATAAAATAGTCTCTAAAATATAGAATCCACATGTGCTGAGCCCGTCTAATTGATAAAACACTTGTTTTTAAAGTGCAACCTGCTCGAGAGTAAAGAGTGTAGCTGCTGCCACACAGTGGCTCATTAACCTCAGCACATCCTGTGACTTCCACCCCTTCCCTGCAAAAGCCCAACACACACACACAAGACACACAGACGAGACTGACTTCAATAAAACAACACCACATACATTACAAAATATACTTTTTATATATATAATGTGATAAAGCACTTTTTCAGGGCACTTTGTGATCACCGTGACAAATGGGACATCAAGCATGTTGGACAAGCAAACATTCATGAGCATTGTGCAAAGAAACGAGTTGCACGATGCGGCACGTGAACAAATAAAGCTTCGGAACAGTCTAGACAACATCCATCGGTAAAGGAGACACAATACTGTGTGTGTGTGTGTGTGTGTGTGTGTGTGTGTGTGAGTGACAGAATGGTAAGACGTGAAAATAATTATCTCTTTGTATGAAGCCAGCAGTGGGACGATCCTCCAGCACATCTTCATGTACAGTTTCCCTTTGAATGACGTTTTACTGGCCCTGAATTGAATGTACAGACAGACACACAGTGGGCGGGCGCCCTCAAAAAGTTGGCTTTATTCTATCTAACAGCAGTACAGATGTGAACAGACGGGATCATTTAGCTACAATCTGACTGTGAGACTGAAGTCCACTTCTCAAACACGCTGAGTTATCGATGAATGATGATACAGACTGTAAGGCCAAAAGGGATTCAGTTCACAGTCTGGTAAAACAGGGAGGGAAACAAACTACGAGCTGCAGGGCAAAAAGATGCGACATCCACATTAACAGTCCTATTGATTGTTTGTATAAAACTGCAAACTGCAGGGTGAAGAAGGTGACAGGTCTGAGATTAGGTACGAACTTCGCTTCCAGGACCGAACAAAAGGTCAAAGAGTCGAGCTCACTTTGAAGATGAAGTCACTGAAGCTCAGTTTAACAGCAACCAAAAACAGTTTCATTACAAACATGAAGTCAAGCTGAACCACGTACTAAAATATGTTTCATCTGCTGCACACATATTCACAAAGATTCTCATTGGCATACAATGTTACAGCCCTGTCTCCTAAAATCTACGCTCCCACACAATGAAACATTATGAAATATGTTTCCAGGGAAATCTATTTAGTCGCGGATACTTTTGACGTATTTTGGTTCAATGTCACAGTCATTTTGAGCCAACCGTGATGTATTTGAGTAAATCTAGATAAGTAGTTATGATGTATTTTTTGTTTTTTGATTATTAATGTATTTGAAACAGTTTAAAGCTGCGACCGTTGGGCCTGAAAGAAAATACATTTTCCTCAAAACATAATTGAGAGTGCACTTTAGTTGTATGGGAACCTCATTTTGTAGGAGACAGGGTTGGATGTTAATACACTTTTCTGTCTGCATGGATTTGGAAGTTTGGTTCAGCCGAATTCTGTGGCCCCGTTCCAACCACGAGGAAATAGACTCAGAGGTGTAAAGAGACAGAGCGCAACGCGTCATAAAGTGAAAACCACACCCGTCAGAGGGGAAAACTATCAATATGCAACCAATGGCTGAAAAGCTAACAAAATGCAAGTAGCTAGCTGATCTTTTCAGCACGTAAAAAGATTACTTTAGCACCCTGTGTCTACCAGGACAGTAAATAACTAGAATAGTGATGGAATGGGGCAAGTTTGATGTTAGCGAGCTAATGTTAGCAAGTTACTGTAATTAGCTAAGGCACTAGCAAACATAATACTGCACGACTATAACAAATAGAATACTGTCAAAATACTTAACTTACACAAGTGTTGTTCGCCTAAAACGTACTTATTATAAATGTTGGCCCCTACTAGACATGTTAGCATTAGCATTAGCAAATGCCAAGACACGCTGACATGAGCCAGATCTATTTCCCCGTCAGTGGCAGTAAACTGTGCAGTTATTTGTTATATTTAGATATTTTCAAGAGGAATTTGAGGGTGTAGTTAACCTTTAGTGCAATGCGTCTGACCAGGCAGACACCTCCTTCCCCCATAATAATACACGGGCCCCATATTTTTCATCCAAAATCAATAATTTTGAGTTTGCAGCGATGCAGAATAAAATGATGACCATGTTTCCTGTTTGATATTGCATTTCAGATTGTAACTCCTGACTTGTAGTTTGATACAACTGTCACCACAAAGACCACAAACATTTCTACGCATGACATTTAAATTCACATTTCATTTAAGGGATGGCGGCCAATCCAGATTCACCTTCCATTCCAGACGAGGTCGTCTGCTCCTCGGGCTTGGTGCTGGGATTAGCTTTTCATAAGAGAGCAGACTTCTTTTTTTTTTTTTACCTCTATCCCACTTCCTCCCTCCCCCTCTTTCTTTCTCTCTCTCTATGTGTGTGTCTCTCACTGCCTGGTGATCAGGATCAGCTACATGTGGCCACAGCAGCCAGACTTGTGCTTCTGAGCCTCGATGTAGTCGTGAATCTGGAACTTGGGCTCATTCTGCTGCTGTGTCGCTCTGTGCTTCAGCTCCCTGACGGAGAGAGACACAGGAAGTTGGATACAGAGGGGGTGGACGTGTGGGATGGAGCACATAGGGTGAGCAAATCAAGAAAATGAGAAAGGAAGAGAAATATAGAAGAAGAAAAAAAGAGCAAGCTAGCGAGGGAGGGAAACATCTATCTGGACTGAGTTTTAATCAAAATGCCTCTGGCATGAATCATTTAATCCAACTTGCACTTAAAATACACATGAAGATAGCAAATCACTCACATTACTGTCTTCCACAAGTCTTAGAAACATGCTGCGCAATCAGTCCTTTTTTAGACTCACTAACAATCCGTTTCTTATTTCCTGCCTTTCAATAGTGAAGGTGTGAGCACAAGGGAGTCATTCAAAAGCAGAATTTATACAGTTCAAGTCTGACATCCACAGGGAACAATCCCATTACAACGAGTCAACAGGAACAAACAAGAAATTAGCTTGAAAGAAAGTGTTCAGATTAGTTGCAGGAGTCAGAGGAAGGCTTGTGAGCATTAATGCTAAATCAAAGTATGTAAATACTCAGAGGAGAAGACCAGAGTGAACTCAGAGTCTGCAGAAAGATGTCGGCTGACTGCGTGAAGCGGATTAAAATACAAACGCTTTATGTGGAACCTCAGTGTTTACTACTCGAGAAGCATGACCCAAACTAAACTGGGAATACATTTCATTCTGTTGTTTTTACTACAAGAAGAGAAAGATTCTGTTTTTGCTGTAGAAACATTCATTTTCTCACTTCAGAGGACTATTTAAAAGAAGACAAAGCCTTTGAGGTGTTAAATATTTGTTTTGGAGATTACTCTTCAGTGACTCTGGAAATGAGAAAAGTGCCAATAATTCCTCTGTATAATCCCCAAGTGTGTTTGTTTTGTTTCTCTCTCTCTTTTATGTTAATGTTCTGTATTCAGTCGTTTTCTCTCTTTTATGTGGTGGGTGTAGAGGAAGATCTGCTTGACTGCTTTTGCTTCTTTCCATCATCTTGTAACCAAAACATGAACAAAACCAGCTGTGATTTAGAGCTCAGAATAAAATCACGGGACAGATTAACCAATCATGCCTCTGAAATCAAATGAAGGGATATTCATTTAAATGTGCATCTCATCATAAACCTCTTCACAGACCAGTGTATAGGATTTAGAGGGATCTTTTGGGAGACATGGAATACAATATTCATAACTATGTTTGAAAGAGTGGTTGTGTTTTTGTTAGCTTAAAATGAACCCTTCATATATCTACATAGGGAGCAGGTCGTCTGCAGAGCTGCAGAGTCAGCTGATGATTCTCTGAGCTACACACTTCACATTACACATTGTGATTTCATCCACTGCTGGTATAACATATGCATCAGTGGAGCTTTAAGACTTACTTTCCTACAGCGAGAAAGGCCAGCTCCACATTGACTCCTGTCTTCGCACTGGTCTCCATAAATGGTACACCGTATTCCTACAATGGAAAAACATTAGAGGAGCATCTGGAGTGTCTGTCGTTGAGAACGTGACCGCGTAGCGCCGCCATACATTACCTTCGCCAGCCTCTCTCCGTCCTCCGTCTTCACCACCCTCTCTGCAGCCATGTCTGCCTGCAAGACAGCAGCAGGGGAGAGAAAACAAGTCATCATAGCGGCGGTGAAGGGTCAGAGATCCCCCATGCCATTAGCTTCAGTGGAGCACCATCGGGTCAGACCGCACATCCTCTTATCCGCCGCCAAACACAGAGCCAGAGCTCCTTCAGACTGATGGGATGTCAGAAACTCAACCTCTGGCAGGAGAGCAGCGCTCGCACAGACTGATGCCGGCAGTCGTGCTGCACTCACAGCAAATGATCTGAGCTGCTGCTGCGTGACATCTCCGACCCCGGAGAAACGCGAGTCCTCTCTGAGCCGCCAGAGGGAGCGTAGAAATATATGAGCAACGACTGCAGACTCATCACCAGCGGCGTTGTGGAGGAAATGGCTCCATGCAAGGGAAGCTTGGAGCAAGCGATAAGTCATTTTAATGGCAGGTTGTTTGTTTGTCCTTCGCAGTCACAATGATCTAATAACATTGGCTGATGGGTAGGAATCAAGTGTGTTGATGTGGACGATTCTGTAAATGGACCAACTTGATTTTCACACGGGGATATTCAAAAGATAAATCATTTGATCACACAAACACCGTTAAGACTTTAAATGTCAAGTGAGAGTTCGTATTTGCACACGTGCTGCTCGGTGGAGACATTTCCTGCCTGTTAAGCATTCCCATGTCTGTCTGAGTGCGATAAGAGTGTGTTTAAATTGTGCTAAGAGACCCGTTATCCTCCTGATCTGTTTTTATGGAACGCAAAAATAGGAAGCTTTGCTCACCTTGTTGCCGAGCAACATGATGACCACATCCTTCTGGGCATACTCGTGTACTTCAGTCAGCCAAGCCTTTGAAAGTACAAGAGACAGACAGATACAGGGGGGGGGAATTGGTTTATGAACAAAACAAATACCACCACTTAAAGTCTACATTTTCACTCTCCTCCTGAGCTGTGTGTCATTACCATCCTCCAATCAATCCTGGTGAGACTGAGTCACTCCTATCCTTGAACATTTTTATTGCTTTTTCATTACTGAAACTGGGAACAGTGTAGCGGAGCGAACGATAACATCATGTCATTTCCAAAGAGGGCTGTGAGAAAAGGCTGGAGGTCCTCAACAGTATTTTGCATGTAAACAGACAGAGTGACGCGTTCGGCTTGAGGGAGTGAAGATGAAGAGGGAGAATAAAGAAGGAGGGGAAAGTAATTTGATAGTCTCACCCTGATATTGTCAAACGACAGCTTGCTGGTGATATCGTAAAGCAGGAGTAACGCTGTAAAAGAAGACGGAACACCTTCATTCTTATGCAACGCACACATCAACACCTACTCACACTTTCTATGCACGCTAATAAAAACAAAAAAGTGCACATCTCAGCCCGGGTTCACCCTTACCTACAGCACCCGTTCCCACACATCGGCACACACAGAGCACGAGGAAGTGCAACATAAAAAGCAAAGGTTACCCTGGGCATCTCGATAGTAGGCGTGTGTTACACTGCGGAATCTCTCTTGGCCGGCTGTGTCCCAGATCTGCGGAACAAACCACATAATTACACAACATCCAACGTGGGAAAAGTGAACAATCCTCCACAGCCAACGACTTAAGCAGAAACATACCATTATACCAACCCACAAGGTCAAAATCCAGGAACCATATACGTAGTCCAAAAGAAGTTTAGATCAGAATCTGACTTTTTTTTTTATACATAGTTTTAAAAAACTATAATTTCAAATCAAACGGCTCAAAACCAAACAGTTGAAGCGAGATAGACACACTGAGCTAGTTCAAGCTGGTCAGATGAGTTAGCCACAGCCTGCCGCTAAAGCTACATTTAGTTTTGTGCCCCTTAAATGTTTTCTGTAAATTAAATACCTCAATTACAATCAACTAGCATCTAAGTTTAGCTTGTTAACCATAAATAGGGACATAAATAATACACAAATAAGGTAAATAAAACAGCTATAGTCATGCTAAAAGGTAGGCTAACTAGCCTAGCTTAGCAAAGTAGCAATAACTGTATGGTTTGCCATGATACCGGCGGCTCTTTCTGACGCTAACATCTAGCTAGCTGTCACGCCTAACAAGAAATTGAATTGCCTCGAGGAGGCCTCCGTTTCATACAGTGGAAACGCCAAAGATCAAGATTAAGAGAGTCTGATAGCATTATACAATAGCTGGCAACCTGCACACCGACCAATACCCTGTGTTTAGTTTAAAAGGTATCTGGCAATCTATTATTATAGTACACGTATCCAATCCATGGCTTTTGTGTCTACTAGTGTTACTGAACTGTTCTCAAATAAACATCTGTTTTGGTGGATTTTGGTCTACTGTCCATGGTGTTGGAATCGGTATTTGTGCTCAGCGCTGAAATAATGAGTCCCCCATTCTGATGAAAACGTCTGTGTTGCATGCATAATCACATACATGTGTTTGTGCATGAACGTGGAGTTTAATTAAGGGTCCCAGTTTGGAAGGTTTTAAAACTATATGGTCACCTTAACTAACTGCCAATGCAGCTTTTGACTCTATGGTGTTCACCATTTAGTGTAGTTATGCTTTGAATCCAATATTAATGTATTTAATCAAATTAATAGATTATATCAAGGAAATGGAAAGCTGAAAAAAAACACATTTTATTTGTTATTTACTAAGTTTTCCTCAAATTCCTTTTAGTTGTCTAAAGGCAGAGTGCAGTTTTTAGGTTCTATCTAATAATTAGTTTAAAAAGACATAAAATGACGATATTACGTCAATCAATCTGCTACATTGTTCCTCCAGTCAGCCTGGAAACTTTAAACCATAGTCTCTCACGTCAGCTTCGTTTCTATAGTAGAGATTTAGACTCCTGGGGATTTAATAACAGGATTTCATCATGTTCAAGGACCATGCAAGAAAAGAAAATCTAATGATTTACCCGAGTTGGCAGAAGAATCTAATTTTGGCATCCTCCACTGTGTGTTGAATGAACAGGTTATGATGATAGACCTGTTTGTGCCTCAGAGTAACAGCCTGCTGCTGGCACACAACACTACAGAGTCCTTCCTCATAGCCTATTCAATGACAATGTAGTAGTGTACTGCTATATGTAAAGCATATTCAGGTCAACTATTATTTGTAAATTACTGTTCGGATTAATTTTGATGCTACATCATCTACCAGACGAGTCTTTATACAGACGGAGGAGATGATTTGTGAGCTAAAACGCAGACACGGGTCTCGAGTAAAGGCGCATGTTCTCACCTGCAGTTTGACTTTCAGGTTGTCGACGTCCACCACTTTATTCTGCAAACACGAGAGGAGCCGTGAGAGACTGTCACAGCCCACCATATGCTTTAATAGACTGCAGTGCTGAGCGACGAGCGTCTCAGCAGAATGGAAAACGATAAGACACTCGGCATGTGGTAAAAGAAACAAGACAACTAAAAGTGGCTTTGAATGCTGGCAAAGAAAGTAATTTGTAACACCCACACAACAACAAGGTCCTGGGATTAGACTTAATTGCACAACAGTGAGGAAGACGACTGGCAGCATAACAACCGACTCCCCCGTTCATTTCCTGCAGCCCCGTAGGGGGGCCGTCTGATGTCCTGAGAAGAAAAGATTGGCTTAAAAATTGTTTGGGGCACCCCGCTTAAAAAGACAAGCTAAATGTTGTGACCCATGAGGAAATAATGGTTAAGGTAACATGCAGTATGCAATCACAAAACACTGGTTCCACCATGCTCCGTGTCATGTGGGGGAGGAAGTGGAGTTGTGTGTTAACATGACCTGCTAGGTCACAACCGCATTTTCAACCTTGCACAGAAAAAAAAAAACAACACCACCAAAGAGAGATGGAGGAAGTGTGACTAGAGAAATGTTCTGCAGCACTTCCTCAATCACTGTGTCGGTGACAGGTCATCACAAAATAGCTCCCGCCTTTTCATATGAAGAAATGCAGACAGAGCTGACGTGGTGACACAAAAAGAAGCCTCTGCTGCGAGTGCAAGCGCGAGAGCTGCCACCTGCTGAATCCTCTGCCTTAGCAGAACGGACATGGTTCAACCCCTGCATTAGTTGCCATGGGTTTCCATTTTTTCCCCCTCTCAATTATGACGCGAGAGGAGCCTGCATGCTGAGTAACTGCTACAAAGGAAGCATGCCGAAAATAGAGCGGCCATGTTACAAGCTGCCACAACAGCCTGCCTGCCTATCCGTGCACAGAGGACAACCTCAGCATATTGACTCAACGGCTCCTCTCAGATGACTCCGTTTCTAAGCAGCTTCTCACAAACACGAGCCAGAAAACGGTCGCTGCCTCTCGTTAGGAGACAATCTGAATGAATAGTGTAAACCAGTGTCAGGTCCCTTTGTAAGGCGTTTTATGAATGGGTGCTGGCTGCGGTACTTGTTGCTTTCGCTTGAGTAGTGGCAAAATGCAATTTGGATGCTTTCCGAATAGACGACGTCCATACAGCTCTAGCCTGATGTCCATTACGCTCTATAATGTCTTCACCACCATCGAAGAAGACGTCGCTCTGTCTAATGCAGCACAGTTTCCTCCTCAAACCACCCCTACTTGACGTGCTATTAGTGAGTGTTTTGCCTTGATTGGAGGCGGACTGGGGGTCGAACAGCTTGTTTGCATGTTCATCCCTGCAGAGTGAGATGTTTCCTAGAAATCTGCTACAAATTCATCAACCGTCACTCACTAGTGTGTGTGTGTGTGTGTGTGTGTGTGTGTATATGCGACGAGTTTAGCAGCTCCTCCAGGACCGAGCCAAGCTGCAGACAATTTGTTCATGAGACAGAGACGTGGGCAGGCATCAGCCGAGACATTTAGGAAGCCGTCCTCAGAGCCTCGCAGCACAAGTGGTTTGTGAACTCGACTGATTGGCGAGAGAGGATTTGTACATTTGGTGCCATCATCGCAGAACGACGAAGTGTTCAGCGAGGAAATAAGGTGATAATTGGGCCGCAGTGTCTCGAACAAGTGGATCCCTTGTTGCCTTAAAAAAAATATCATTAGGTTGTTTTTCAGATGCTAAAGTGTTTCCTCGAGATAGAAACAAGAAAGTAGCAGAAACGCAGAAACAATAAACATTATAATGAGCCATTGTGTTCAACAGCATCTCTCTCACCCTAAAGTCTATTCCAACGGTGGCTATAAAGTTGCCTCCCAGAAACGCCCCGTCTTTAAAGCGCACCAAGACGCACGTCTTCCCCACGGACGAGTCTCCCAGCAGCATCACCTATAGAGCAAACCCCCCCCCACCAGAGAAGAGGGACAAAACAAACATGACTGACAGCTCATATGGTGTTATGATAAACAATCACAAACCCCGACTGAAGAGGAAATTAAAGCAGACGGTTTTATTTTGCAACTGAGCGAGAAGAAATGTTTTCCCAACTGCGACCATGATGTTTGAGTCAGAAGATGATGTTGTGCAATGTCTGCTTTTTGGCAAGATTTCAGTTCGTATTAAGGAAAATGAAACTAGTGTTGTGATTCACACTGTGTGTGTGTCTGAGCTGCCAATAACATGTGACGCTCTGCAGAGAGACACTGGAGAGAGATGTTTGAGCCAACTGCAATTTCAACTCATCATTTTTCAGCGTGCGTCCAAAACTAATCAATATAATTGCAAACAACAGGATGTGTAATTATACAATCCATCCTGCACTGTGAGTCAAAGCCGCATAAAAACACAGACCTCATAGATAACAGTGCAATTAAACTTTTCCTTTTGTCTTGATTGGTGTGCCTCAGCTTTTTATAAATATTTTACGAGAGGGAGCAACAAGTACACCCTCAGCAAATATTTGCGTTGTCAGTCAGGGCGGACAAAGCAACCTCCAGAGGCTCAGAGAGACTTGTCAGGTCGATGACTTGGCCTCCTGTTTAACCAGGAGGATGCATAAAGACACTAATAGTTTAAGGTTTCACTCATTATGCAGATGTGGAGAGGCACCATGCATGCTGCTGCATGTGCACCCAGCTGTTTGTGTGTCAAATCTACAGCACATCTAGACACCTGTTAGCACCACAAACAACAAACAAAACAAAAACAACAAAAGATCAAGACGAGACGGAAATACACACCTTGAACGCAACATCATAATACTCGTTAACAGAAGCGCATCTCTCCAACGAATATTTGGACGTTCCGTTTTTAGCCTGCTTGTCCGTCAACGATGTCTTTCTGGTGGACATCGCAACGCCAGTTAAGAAGAGAGCGCGGGCTTGACAAGGAAGCCGAAACCTGCAGACGTCTCCGAGATGTGTTCCGAGAAAAGACGCGCACGGTTTTCTGCGAGCTGTCCGCCGCTCAGTCCCGGTCTCCGCCAGCCTCCAGCCCCTCTGCGAGCATTACTGCGCGTGGCCACAGAATGATCACCGGGCGCTTTCAGAGGAGGAAGAAGAAGAAGAGGAAGAAGAAGAAGAGGAAGAAGAATAAGAAGAAGGAGAAGAAGAAGAAGGAGAAGAAGAAATTACACCTCGATTCCGCGCTGTGGAAAGACGGAAGCGATGCTGTCAAAACTTGAACAACAATCAGCGCGTCTGCGTCCACCAGTCAGGAGAGCGGCGGTGACAAAACAAGGCGGAAACATTTCTCTGCATCCTGGCGTGGACAGACCGTTAACCGAGACAGCCAACAACGCTGTGGGTTTCTGGTATGAGTGAACGCGTCGGTCTGTGTTTCGGGCTCACGCTGTCCCCAAATAACAGCTGCGGGGGTCAAGCGCGCGCTGACGGCTGACTCATCCGCCACAGGTGGTGCTCGATCAGTCAGCGGGTCAGAGAGGAGAGCGGAGACCCGGGGAGGAGGACGGGGGCTGAACTGGGATCTGTTAGTGTGAATACACTTGATGTATAATTTCCTACGGATACAGATGAACTGCTCTTGGTGCGTAAAATGGCGCACAAGCCTTAATGTTTATTTAAATATTACCCCAGAGTAGTACCTATCCTTTTTAATTATTATTGCTGTTGCATCAACCCGTTGGCTTTTCTCCTCACAGCAGTCCAAGTCTCAATAACACACTTGACTCTATAAATATCCCATTTAATTAGCATGTCATACATGTCAGAAATGGTTTGGCTGAGCCGAAAAATGAATCTGCAGTGTTTGTCTCCCCCCAGTGTTCAAGTCCAGTCCCCGCTCCTCTCCGTGGTGACAGGACTAATGACAAATGGTTCAGAGATCATTCATGTTACATAACTGACACGTAATCTATCGTCTGAGCCCATGAAGGCAACATCTCACCCCTCAGACATGAACATGAAACATTCATTTTGAAGATGGAATCAGTGGAGAGAAGTGCATCTAAAAAAAAAAAAGAGCCTG